ACCTGTCTTGAATACCTAGGATATAGGTTTTTCATCTTGATCTGGGTTAACTTCAATTTAAATTCCACCCATCCCCAATTCATTCTTACTCTTAAACAATTCCCTCCCCTATCCCTATCCCAATATCATAACCTATCCACATCCTTACTACAGTCATTTGTAACAAAACAACGAAGTAAATGAAGAGTGGCAACAATACGAAGAAGTAATATCGATAACACTGTTGTTACCGTAAAACGAAAATAGAGCTGTAACGGTATTCACTATTAGGAGTAACGAGCTGAGTAACCTACCTAATAACTTAATCAAGCGTTCTCTTGGATTATAATTTGCGTTGCACTTTTACTATATCTTAAATATTACCACCTTTCTGATTCATGACAAAACGATGCCGATTCTACTCCCATTCTACTATTCTATTGCACCCCGATACTATGTATATTCTAAGCTTATGGTATTGGCAGCATTCTATGTTTGTTACATAGCCGATCGTAGTATTTTGATGCGTTTATTTTAAAAATAATTATTATTATTAAACGTTTCGTTTCTCCGTTAAGTGAACAAAAAGTAGTAAGTTAAGGCAAATCGATACGATAAGGTGTGTTCACTGTTTGGTAGAGTGGCTGATTGCTCTTTTACTCGTTGCCGAGTTCGTTATTCGTAATCGTGAATGTCCTCCTTACTATTTTTACGGCATAACCTCCACACACTTTAGTATAAACTAAATGTAATGTCTGGCAAGTAAACGAAATTGTTAAAATTGCTAAACTCAAGCAGAAAGAAAAGAACAATAAAAACGACTGAGCTATTACCCATTTAATTACTATTTTCAACACTAATTTTTTTTTATTTTCGTTTTTGTGTTTTATGATATATTGTATTTCTATTTCTCGTATATGTTAATGGCGGACTAAAATTACAATACCGAAATGTGTAACTTAGAGGTATTCATAAAAAAGCAACAAAAGCAATTTGTGAAAAATTAGGTTGCGAATCAAATGTGCCCTTGCTTTGATTTACGCAAAGAAGTGCAGTTAACCGAAAACATGGTTATTTGTTAAATAATAAAAAATTATACCATATATTTACAATGAAAAAGAAAAATAAATATGACTTATTAAATACAGGTTCTTATAGTGATATTGAATTTAATTTAATATATGTCGTACGTACAGAGAGAAAGTTTTTGGTACTCCAGAAACTCAATAACCAGATATAGACACTTAGTTTATCTTCATCAATTGTCCGAACTTTTTCAATTTGAAATACCATATACTGGGAGTATAACGCTGTTGCCTAGATATATATATGTTGTACCTCAAAATGGGAATTTATGCAAGACAATGAAAAAAAAAAGGAACTATGCGAATGACTAATACATAGTTCTGGTGCTGGGCTAAAATCCGATAGAACGTCTTTGAAAAATCCTGAAAAAGCGAATATCTGAATATATAGTAAGCCCAAAATCAGGAAAAATTAATAAGATGCTGACTGAATGCTGTTAATAGGTCGCCAAAACGCGACCTATAAAACGACAATTTTAATTATAGTAAAAAATTATAGGATGAAAAATTAAACCAGATTTACTAATAAGGCCTTCGGTTTAGTGTATACTGAGAAATTTATATTCATAGAATATAGTAAAATTTACAAAGCACAAATAAATTAAGATCGTAAGTGCACATTTTTTTAACTTAGTTGAATTATTAAATTATATATAAGAGTAGAAATAATTATAATGATAATATTATAAAAGCTAATATACCCCGCCATATTAGACAAACTATAATTTATATTGAAGTACACAATATATTTAAAAGGGATATATGCATACTAAAAGATAGTCTACCTGCTTTAAAGTCTTTGAATTCAGTCCAATCTACATCCCGGATGGTCTTTGATTACTACAAAAAGTCTGACATCTGAATGAGATGTCGTCAGCCGAACTGACGAGACGGTATGCTTCTGGTAATCATTCAAAAATTACTTAAATCATTCGAACACTTAAAAAATCTGATCATATCGTTGACATTATGCAAATATTTATTGAATTTTTTCTGTGTGGAGCAATTTAATACAAGATGGAAAGGCTCAACAATATGCAGGCATCTGTATGCAAGTTGCCTGCGTACTCTCATTGCGAAACCCCACTACAATATCAGTCTTGTGGTACGTTTGTTGATGGTTCACATTTAGAACAATGCTTGAAGATTAATTCGACCGTTAAATCAAATCTGTTACAGTTATGGAAGGGACGATGAAAGTGCCTAACATCTTCTTTGTTACTACCCAGTGAATGCACGGCGTTTCTTTAGACTGACTGTACTAGAGGCTCCCTTTTTGAGGATCGTGGTCACCTCGAGGACCAATCTCTGAAGAGCTTTTTAGGCTTTTCCAAAGGTTTAAGGCAGTTTTTAAACCTTTAACTTCGTGTACCATAAATGAACGAATACAAATATTAGGTTATAATCTAATCTAATATCGGTACATTAAAATTTTTATAAATGTAATAATTAAGTTAATGTTAGAGTAAATAGTATTTTATAATAAATAGGATGGGTTTTGAGGTTAACAAGAGTTATAGTTCTTATGTTGTTAAATTTATGGCAATAAATAATGAGTTTCTAAAGAATAGGTTGAGTAAAAAACAATGGAAAACGTACGGCGTATGTTATTTTAAAAGGTATTCATTAGCATTCTTGAATTAGTTAGTCTAAATTCTCTTAAACTGAAGAGATAAGACGTTCTTTAAAAATATCTAAAAGCTATTTCAATAAATATATTTTTTTCCTTACGGTAACTATTAATTACACAATTATTTCGTTGTTTTTGTTAATTATTTAACCCATTATGAAGTAATGAAAGTTTTGTTGTTTTTTTATGTCAGCTAAGACAATAACGAATAAAGCTATATATTTGAGTCTTTATATGAAAACTCAAAAGTAGACAAAAACTCATTTATTCGATGTGCTCATATTAGTTGCTTTTGTTATGCACAACACTGTATGTTTACATATGGTATTAAAAGAGTAGTATTTTTACTGGTATTATATTCAAAAATTGTTTTTAAATATATTTTTTGACCCAAAACTAAAACTAACTTTTTTTTAACTGTTTTTTTCATAGATGTTTTCAAAAATTGACAAGATATCCCAATACATATAAAGTATCTACATCAAAATTTTTAGTTAATATTAGAACTAATGTATAAATACAAAAAATATATCGGATTTGTATAGTTTAGTTCTTATTAACTCTACGTTACGTTGTCAATGGGGATTATTTCCTTAGCTCTGGGGTCCTGAATTCGCCGGTATTTTAACTGTTACCGTTATGAATTATTAATGGTACCGGGTAGTATGTTCTCCAAGGAAGGTTAGATGATTTAAACAAACGTTTTAGTTTAAAAATTACACAGTAATTCCAATATAGGTGAATATTGGTCGATAAAATTCTTGGAACCTGAATGTATTTAGCTATATTACACAGTTGGGAAGTCATGGTCATATAAGTTCAAGTTAAATATTAGCACGATTCTTGTCACTGTGGACACCTAGCCTCCACGTGCCGTCATCTGTGGTTGATATCGACGGACAATCATCCATGCGTCGCAGTGAAATTTTCGTCATGACTGTATGAGGCTCTGCGCCAAGCTTGAAACCCATCATATAAAACACTGTTCCAATGAAAACAAAGAGGAAGCACGGTTATCTGATGGACGTGTCTAAAGATGACTTACATCTGTAGTGGCCAACTAAATAAGAAGGTAAGTTAACACTATCGCTTATAACGGAAAGTCTGAGGATATAAGTAGAGATTTGAAAATTTTAACCAATGAGAAATTATTTACTATTAAAAACAATTTTCAGAAAATAAATTTTAATTTTAATTTTAAGTTTTAGTTTTAGTTTTATAGGGTAAAGATACATATTTAAGGTGTTTCAATTATTTTCTCCATCACTGTAGACGTATTTTGTTAGTGCATTTTGGTTTATCTGCAAATACACTTCCAAATTGGCTTATAATTGTTTTTCTTTATTATTTTTATTCTCTTTTTTGGTCTCGTTTTTAGTGCAGCAAAACAAAAGCCGTGATAACTTTTCAGTTTATATTGCAATACCAGTTTAAAGCCAACACAAATACTAACAAACTTTCGATTCAGAAGGTTGCATGTATGATCGGGTATAACTTGGCTCAGGCATAGATTTGAATTGTGTATCATACGAGTTGCGGCTTTGGCTTGTTCGAACATTGTTTGAATGAGATTGGGTGGATTTATAATAAATTCACCATTAAAATTAAAGTGGTATTCGATTTGCATTTATACCATACAAATGCTTCTTTGAATTTTAGATTCTCTGCTAGTTTTCCTTCTGTATGTGTATAAAAGTGTGTAGTGTGCAGTGTGTAGTGTGTATGCGTATTTTTAATTATAATTAATATTCAGAAATAGTGTTTTTGTGCCTTGCATCCAAATTTTGTTTGAATCATAACAACTACCCCAGCCAGTCATCATCAACAAAGATGGCTATTGCCAAAGAGCAATAACTTACGACTCGACTCGTCTTGGGTTTTGTTAACGCGACTACTCACTCTCTCCCTGTTTTTGTTATTGTTGCTTGCTTGGTGTATTCTCCCACAAGTTTTCTTCAGCAAAAAAAAAAAAAAAAAAATGTTCATGTTTGTATAATATTTTGTGCAATCGCCGTTGTTTAAAGTGCGTTTCGTACAAGTGTTATTCAAAAATCAGGTTTTATAATGAAACATTTTGTGTATGTAGCACACATACATATATATATATATATATATGTAGCTACGTATGCCTGTGTATACTAGTATGTATATTGCAAAGGTGTATTGCACTCAACATTTGTTTTTTTTTTGTAGTTTTTTAATGAAATTTTAATGAAATCTTAATATTTCAAAATGCAGGGTCATCACATATTTTTTTTGTTTTTTGTTTTTGTAAAACAATTGCAATTTATAAATTTAGAACTTACCGATAAATATGAAATTCCAGATTGTAGTCATGTTGAAGCAAAACTGAAATTTGTTTTAAGCATGAATTCGGTCTCTAAAACTGAAGTTGGGAACACTGAACAATAAATATTGCAACGGTTTTGCTGTTTTGACTTGTTGCTTCAGATGAGTTGACTCATCTATGGATCTATGGATCATATAACTGGTACACGTTAGGACAAGACGTGATAAAATTAATTATTTTGTTTTTCTTTTTTTCTTTGCACTTTATTAATTTATTTCACTTTTCATTTGCAGCTTTTTTTCAGTTGTATTTGTTGTATTTGTACTTTTCTACTGCAAAATTACTCATTTTGTAGTTGTATTTATGATTGTAAGTAAAACTTATGTATCATAAGTTGACATTTTGACTGATGCTAATTGAGGAAACAAGATATAGAAAGAGATATAGATTAAATAATTTTAATTAACACAAGCATTTTAAATTAATTTTATATGATCTGATCTTCACGCAAATAGTTTGACATTTTTTTCTTTTGTTCATTTTCACTTTGTGTATAAATTATCACAATTTTTATTCGAATTCAACTTTTAATTACGGTATATTTGCTTCTGTGTTACTTCTTAGTACGTTAGTTCAAATCCAGAAAAAAGCAAAAAGCAAAAGGCAAAGGCAAAAAGCAAAAACTTGTTAAAGGAAGTGAAGAACAGGAAAAACCAACAACAAACAGTATTGAGAACACTTAAGTGCAACAACAAACAACTAAGAAAAAATATAGTAAGGAAAACATAGTATGTACACAGTATGTTAAAAAAACATATAAAGCAAATAAACAAGCACAGGCAGCTGCACAACATCATAAGCCAGGCTTGAAAAGGTTCCAAGAACTACGTTCAACATATGAATACATTTTGTTGACTTTTTTTTGTACGAGTTTTTTTCTACTGTATTCATTCGATAAATTTTTTTACCAATTCTTGTACGTTTTTTCCGTCTTCTTGAAACTCAAAGCAACACTGAATTCAAGAAGAATGTTCATAATTAGCAAACAGAGAAAAAAGGGTACTGCTGAAAACGAGTTTGTCAGGTAAACGCACACACACACACACACACACACACACACATGTTCATATCAATAAACAAGAATGCCATGTAAAATGAATATATCAGGAATCGAAATTCAACACACCACGGCACATAAGCCAACGACAGCTGCCTCTCACCTCGTTGGCGACTGACAACAACAACAGCAACAACAACAACAATGAACGGTCGATCGCTGGTGTCGTCACCGTACGAGATCGTTTCTCTGTCATTGCTGTGCTGTTGCTGTGATGTTTGTTTTTTGTAAGCCTGAAAGCGGTTTGGCACTTTGTTGTTGCATTTTTTGTAGGCACAGAGCAATAACGAAGTGTTTTTTTTTTATATAATCACTTCACAAACTTGTTTTGCACTTGAGTACTGTTTTGGTTTTTGGTATTTGGTTTTTCTTTTTTGTTTCTTTTCTTTTCTTTTGTTTTGTTTTCTGCTTAACACTGTACATAACTATGGACGCTAGTACAACCAATGCATCGCACTATGTTTGCGCTATCGTCAGCGTCTTTTAACAGGTTTTTTTTGCTTGATTTTTCATATTTTGCTTTTGGCTTTTTATTGGTTGTCTTAAACCTGCACTAATACGAATTCATATATGATTTTACTGTGTGTTTGGGTGTTGTGTCTGCATGAGTTTTATTGCACTCATTTGCTTTTTGCCTATTTGCCTATTTGCCTTTACTTTGTGTATTTTAGTATGTAGAACAAGCAACAAAATGTTTCAATTCTTCAATTAAAACATATTTCAAATAAATATTTAGTTATTTAAACCTTTAGGTAAATCTTCACAGCGACTTCATTTAATTCAAATTGAACACATTTAAAGCATCTAACACACAAACTGCTCACATTTACATACCATGATGTTTCACTACTTATTAATTCTCCCATTTAATTTAGCAACAAATTGTCCAAGCACTTTATTATTTCAATTATTAATGCAAGTGCATTTAACGTGTTTTATTCCAGAAATTTGTTCCCAACAATACTGCAAATTTATTCTCAATTCAAAAACCAATCTAATGTTAATTTTTGCTACATACGCAAACGTCGCGCATCCGTACCTAACCGCCACAATAGAAATCTTTCGCTTAACTAACACAAACACTCCAAACAAGTTTACAATGAGACACTACATTAACAGCACAATTGAGAGGCGGCCGTTTGCTGAAAATGTTGCTTGTTGCTTGTTGCTTTCATTGCTGCAAACAAAGCAGCAACGATGTTGCGAGAGAGTACTGCCTTTGTTTGCTTGCGCACTCATAAATGAGATGATGTTGTGCGCTCGTTGTATTTTCGATAGAGCAACTCTTCTGTCACCTTGGTAGCAACTTAACTACATGTTGTTACGACCATGTTTCAACACACACACACACACACACACATGCCCGTATACACGTTTATACGTATGTATGCTATTATAAAAATATACATGGTTGTTATCTTTGATATATTAGGAAATGTGTATAAGAAATCGGTTATACTTAGAGATATATCCACCGAAGAATCGAAGAGCTAATGTGCATAAATTTAAAAGATATACAAATCGAAGTGAGATGTCGACTTAATATTTAACGCTGTACTGTTGCGCCCATTAGATTTGCCATTAGGTAAGGCATATAACATCAATCATATGTCCTTTACAAGACCGCTTACAATAGTGTATTTTTTTGAGGCAATTTTCAATCATTTTTCAGCACAAAGCTGATAAAAGCTCCGTCATAATTATATATAAATATATGGCGACAACAGGATTATTCGGCAATATCCGATACAGCTGAATGATCAATTGATTAAACATTTTTGGATTTGAAAATTTCTTTACTATTACCACAGTCTTTCCACTGCCGCGGAAAAGGGATTAGAATACGCCCAAGGAAAGACATGTCCATCATAATAGGCGGCAGCTTTCTCTCTTTCATTCGAACTGTAGAACTGCATCCTTCAATAAAGTGTCGTGCCTCAAAGAACAGGAGTGATGTTAGATGGGCTATTTCCGTTGCAAGAGAAAAACTATACTTCTTCTAAGAGAAGCATTCATCGCTTATGTGTTTATTAAGAACGACGTGTTGTTCATCCTTAATGGCAGGTAATCACGTTAAAAGAACTATGGACCACCATTTTCTATGTTTAATATTGCACATAATATAAAAATATAATATTAACCATTAAAATATAAATATTTAATATTTATTATTATATAAATATAATATAAACAATTTAAGCCAGATAATAAAGTTAACTCGAAACTATTTCAATTTCTTTAAATTATTACATTATTTTTTTGTAAAATAAAAGGGTCAGGGATCACTAAAACTCACAGTTATCCTTGGTACAGGTATACCAGGAACTGTAAATTGTTAATGAATTTTAAACGTTTCATAGGTCAATACGTAGTTTTTAGTTAAACTACAGATAGATATAGAAAGTTATGGACTGTCTGTAATACGTAACATCATGCTTTCTTTATTGAGCATAATTTAATTAGTAAGCCTCATGCAAATTAAATTTAAATTGATTGATATTGAATTAAATAATAAATATTAAATTTGATTATTTAGTAAAATTATATTAATATTAAATAATAGTTAAGTTCTTCTTCTTCTAGCTTCTTTCTAACTCTGGGATATGGGTGAGAAAGAGGCCATGCGAAGCTGATGTTGCCAACGTCCACCGCAACATCTTCACAGATTTTTCGATTTTTTAAAAAATAATATTAATATTAATATTAATATTTAATGTTAATATTAATATTAATTCAAAAATAATAATAATGAATTTTGAACATTTTAAAAAAATTTATATTTTCTGTATTTGGGACATCACGGAGCGTAAGACGCGGTTGAGGCAGTCCAAGCTTGCGCGAGTACACAATGATTGCAACATTACGCTCGACTTTGTTTGACTGCAAGCTTAATTCAGTATCCAAATATGTTTATCGCAGCTGAAATGCACACACATTAACGACGTAATGTAGTAGTAGTAGTGCGATGTATATTTGATATACGATATACGTATGTACATGTCGAACGCCACCACAAAATTGGCAACGATTTCGAAAGTTCGAAGAACAGCTTTTTCTCAGCTAAAGTTGACAGCACTAACACATTGAATCACAGTTTACTTGAGTGGTACTGCGTTCAACTTTTGAGAATTGCTCTCTGAGCCACACATTCGCTTTTTAACATTGAAAATGTTCACACAGAGCAAAAGCAGAGAAACAGCAGTTTTGCAGTCCAACGGTAGATTTTCGAATTTTTTCAGTTGATTCGTTTTTCTTAATTCTTCACAATTTGCGAATGTGTACTGCTCTGTGTTTGCTACATTCAAATGCAAAAAAAAAAAATGAGAACAGCAACAACTTTACAATAAAATGTATATTGCATATTGCAGGAGTTTGTTTCATTGTTTATATGTTTATGTATGCATGTGTGTAAATCAGCTCAGTTAACCACCGTTTGGTTGCGTGTGTTAAGCGAGGGAGTTTAATGCGTAATTGATATAAATTCCATTAAGTGGGGTAATTCATGTCCAGTGTTTGCCGAAATTTATTGTTGGTTGCGGATGGAAGTGTGGCTGTCAATATACGCACAAAGTTAATATTGGTTTTAATTTCATTATATTAACAAAATTATTAAATCAAACAAAAAATAAGTATGGGTAAGTTCTAAATATCTGATTTAATTATTTTAGCTTATGGTTGTAAGGACTTTTGATATTAAAATAATAAGAAAGGATCGTATCTGACCGCTCTACAAAGTGATAAACACAAGGCGAACGGCAAGAGCATGGGCGGCAAAAATCGCTTCAAAACCGCCCGGCGTCTCGATAGAACGACACAAACCAGATTTTGCATAGCACAAACCCGTCATTCGGTCTCTCACTACAAACTGAAAAAATCAAATTTTTCTTTAAAAAAAAAATGCTTTTTTTCTTTATTTATTTATAATTGAACTACAATTTGAATTCACCTACCGCGTGACCTAATTATAACCCTAAAACAATGTCCACTACAGAGTATTAGGGGTATTCACTCTGTCTTGCAGAGTCATTGCAAAGTGCATGAAATGCAAGAAATTCTATACTAAAATTGCAAGAGTGCGAGAACATCGCTGTTGCAGAATTGCAACATCAAAATGAAACAGATGTTTTTGCAACACACCACATCCACATGAGAAGCAACAGATGTTAAAACAGCTGTTTTTTGTTTGTTTCATTGCAAGCATGTACATACATATACATATACATGGGTTGGGGTGTAGCAAGAGTGGAAGCAATTGCAAGAAACTTTGGGCGTGAGTTTTGTTGTTGTTCATTGCAAGCTTGCGCAACCTATGCATTCGTGCACCTTGCAATGCGTTTGCAAGACAGAGTGAATACCCCTATTATTCTTTTGCAAAAATTTAATTACGGGAACTTGTTTTGACAAACTATTAACAATATTTATCAATTTTATACCATATGTTTATTACAATAAATGTTCCTTAACTGATATACAATATGCAAACTATAAAAACTTTTTCTAAATTAATTATGAAGAATTCATTTAAGTTATAATTTTATACATATTTTTATATAAAATTAAAACTTGGAACACAGCTATAAAGTTAAATATAAATATTTGGCAATGTTTAAAAATAAAAAAATATTTTTGATACGAAACATTTTTTTTTTATATAAAAATGTTCAAAAATTGTTTGGAGTTCTCCAAATACTTTTATCAAGAAAAATTTGTTAATAAAAAATTTTGTAATTGCAGAAATTGTTAATTGGTCAGTTGAACCATTAAAAATATTATTCATTAATCCAAATGATGAATTTAAAGTAAAATTTTTTGGCATTAAGCGGTTCAGAGGCGCACTACATGATAAACGGGATCATCAGGAAACCAGCAGAAAATAAATTGCGAATTTATTGGCTATGGCAAAAGTATCGTATTGCTACATGGAATTATAGGTTTAATTTCTAAATAGTATTTTATTTACATTAATTAATTATAAATGTATTTAGGTACCCTGCCTAGATGAGAAACCCTTATAAGCGAAACCACAAATAGTTCTTATGAAGAAGATTCCGAGCAAATTCAATCAGTAGGATATGATGAAAGAAAATCTAAGTGGCTACATTTGTCATAGACGTCGCAATACGACGTGGCAGTCCTTGTTTAATAAGAACTAGTTCTTAGATTACTAGATCTTATGAGGTTTAATATCGATCAATCATTTGACATCTCTTGAAGATATTTAATTAATTATTTTTATTAATATTATTTAAAGAAAGTATGTATGTTAATGTTAAAAAATTTAATTAATTTCTTTCTATTTTCGAAATATGTCCATAGCTAAGCCTATTATGAACCTGTTGTGTTGTTCTAACATCCCACACTGACAAAAAAATCAAAAACTCTTAAACGATGGTAAGTTTACGTATATATTAACTATATGTATATCTATATACATAACTATATACATAACTATATACATAACTTTATACATAACTATATACATCACTATACATATAACTATATAAATACAATATCCTTTTTTTCTGAAAAGTTCATGTGAGACTTTATATTAAGGAAGATTTTATTTAGTAAATTTAATTATTCTGGAACGAATTGATTGAAAACTTCGTCCTATACAATCGTTTCTTGTCTTAAAACCAAAAATTATATAAAAGTCGAGGGTTCGCTTTCGCTGTGATGGGAGTACGAAAATTGAGTTTCAAATAAGCGCTTTCGATTCGAATTCCATATAATATGGCCGGACATAGCATTTTAAACTATTTTTTATAATTAAAGAAAATATGGTTAAATCTCTATTAAACTTCAGTTTGAATAAGTTTTGCTTGTAGGGTTATTTGCTTATAAATTTCAAGAGAGCATATAAATTAGAAGTTAACTGATATAATACAAATCATTAACATATCATAAATATATATAGAATACCCACATCAAATCTTTTCAATCAATAGTGTCAAACAAAAAAATCAAAATCGGTTGGCAGAGACAGAAAATAAAATATACCTATATATATTTCAGACTTTATACTATATTATCTGAATCTCGGCTTAGTCTATATACAAACCTTTATTAGTGTCGTTCA